AATGTCTTTAAGCCCATTTCCGGATCTAACCGCAGCTGACCATTACACCAGTTATCTTATTTGACCCGATCACCCATGCCCATCATTGCTTTCTCGATGCTTGCATCAAAGAAACGACAGCGTTTGGCTTAATGTTTCCAAGTCACTCAGCCTCATCAACATGTTTATTGCAATCTTTGATCCCAGTTTATTTACGTCAGCCAACAACACGCTTCGTTAATGACCGAAAAAAATGGCAACCACCTAACTTATGCATCGTTTTATTATATTTTACAAGTCTGCCCACGTTTCCTTTTTTTTTTTATTTTCTGTATTTAGAATTATTTAAGCATCACTTTATTTTACGAATAACGATTTTTTGTTTTACTTATCTTCCTTTATCAGTATTTCTCAAGATATTCTCTCACTACATTTTGGAACAAGGGAAATATTTTGGAATGACTTTTACGCAGATTCAAAGATAAAAATTGCCTTGTATACGTTTGGACCCCAAACTGCAGATATGAAAAAGAAAAAAAAATGGAAGATCTATGAAAGGAGAAGTTTTAGTTAAAGGCGCGCTTTCCGCAGGTTATCTATAACTCTGTTGGTTAAAGCGTAACTAATCTAACAGAATTTTTGTTCTGTACAGGTGGGTGCATGTTCGAATCCTGCCAGAGCGTTCAATTTTTCTTTAATAAGATTTCTCGAACTTACAGGCAGGCAGACGAAAATAAATAAATATACTGTTTAATAAATAATTAATAAAAATCCATTACTTCCTTTAGAAAGCTATCTATACATAAATATATAATATAATCACTTAGACTAATGTGGCCGTTCTTTTTTTTTTTTTTTTTTTTAAATTATCAAAACGTTTTGGCTGTTGTTTTTTCCGGCATTTTTAGGCTAAGTAGGTTCAGTTTGTGATGCTTTAGTTTCTTTTCTTTCATTTAACTTGGCTATGGTATTTCTGTCCCTATTTTTCTTTAAGTTTAATTCCGCATCCCCTCCCCTCGTTAGGTGGTCAGTGATGTCAGTTCTCTGGTGGATGCAGGGTACCTTTCATTTCGCGTTAGTGTTTTTCGTATTTGTTGTTGTGTTTGAATGAGTACGTGTCAGTGTGAGTGCTTGAGATGAATGAATGGTTTTTATACTGTCATAGTCCCGCATTGATTTCGGCCATTAAACTAATATTTCTGCCACATTTAGTGGGGGTTTTATTACTAATATTATTTTCTTTAGTTTCTTGTTAATAGATTTTGTTTTCATATTATAAATACTCATTGGGGCTAGTTTTTAGAATTGTTGTTTTTATTCCCCTCCCCCGACAGACAATGTATTGTACATATAAAGACTAGTTATTATTTTCATAGAGACAAAGAGGTATTATGGTGAATGTAGTAAGAAAGGTACATATGAATGTGTTGTTTTGGTGTAAGGAAAATTGTTGTACGATTGGGTCAGTGTTTGCGGCTAGCTAAGTTATCATTAACACAGAATAAGACCGTCATTTCCCTAATCCTTCCCTTCGGCCTTGTGCCACATTTCTGTATATATCAGAATAAATATTGCTCTTTCCGACCTTCATCGACTGCTATTCGATCCGGTTGCTAGAATATCAACGCCAGCGCGATGGTAGTCGCAGACACTGGTTAATCGTTGTTATATTTCAATGAGTATAGGTGTTGGAGGCACGGTGGAGCGGTTATCCCCGTAAATTAAATAAAGGGTTCAGTTCATAAGTGTCATTATCGCTTAATTCGTCTTAGTATCATATTCTTCTTGATTGGGTTGAAATTATTTAAAATATGTAAATATATGTAAAAATAACATCGTACTCCACTTACAAATAACAATTATTTTAGCAATTTAAATTTTAAATTGAATACTTTGATTGGCCTTAACGATTTTGTAAGAATGCCAATGATCCACTTAAAAAAAAATACTTCGTCGGCTGTCATAAGATAAACTGATGTTGAACCCACCAGAGAAAACGTATGCGACTAATAGCTCGACAGAAGGGGAGACAACTGATCTATATCTGTCTTCCCAATAAAAGGAGGGCGTAAAACGAGGTCAGTTAAATTTTTGGTTCCCATACGAGCAAATAATGGACAAGGACAAAAATTAACCAGTATCCACGACTCTTGTTATTACTGGCGTCGGTATTCATCAACCCTACCTTTAATGAAAGTGGTGCTGCCATAGGGTTTGAAAATCTGAGGTCAGTTTTCTTTCATAACATTAAGACAAAGAAAGAACAGATACTACGTTTTGATCTCAGCCTGAAGCCAGCATTTATCCACACCTCCACAAGAGTAGGTGTGTTTTAGGTTTTGGTTTGTTCAACGGCATATCAGCTCCTTTTTGATCATGTAATGGGGAAATTTAATATTCTTCAGAGCTTGAGTAATTTCTTTTTTTAATTTTTGCAAAAATCTAATCTTCCTAATTTATTTTTTTATAAATCTATACTTTAATTTTTTTTTTCAACCTCAGATTGCGAGTTCACTATTTACCCATAACAGGGACCCAAGATCACTCAAGATCAGGGTTGACCTGTGAACAACAGCAATTAAGAGGTGGCATTTTTATATTGATTTTATTTTTTTATATCGATTGTATTTTCCCCTTGAGCCGTAGGGATTGCAGGGGCACTATGCATACTGCAGGCGCAGTAGAAGTGGTGTTTCTTGGCCAAGATAGCTTGTCGAGGCCCAACGAGGCCGGTTTTGAATTCAGAATTTTTCCTTTTCCTAGATCTATTGCCACCCAAGGCTATAGAACCCAGGCTGTCTTGCTATTTACCCTTAGAACAAGAGGATTCTTACTTTTCCAAAGATATCTTTCCCAAGGGTATTAACATCTAAATGAATGTAATGGATCAGATTGGAATTCGAACGCTGCTCTCCGATTTGACTGTCTGAGCCGCTATCCATCGCTCCATCGTGCCTCCAATATATTTATTCAGTGACAAAGTACAACGATTAACCAGTCTCTGCGATTACTGTCTCGTTGGCATTGATATTATAACAGCCGGATCGGACGGCACTCAATGAAGGCCGGAAAGAACAACAGCCAAAACTTTGTGATAATTCAAAAAAAAAAAAAAAAAGAAAAGAAAAAAGGCTGACCACAATAGTCCAAGGGATTATATTATCTATTTATTTATATATAGTTTCATAAAGAAAGTAATGGATTTTTATTAATTATGTATTAAACAGTATAGTTTTTCTTTCTCCTAGACCGGTTTCCATCCAAGGCTATAGAACCTAGTTTGCCCTGCTATTTACTCTTACCAAAATTGGTTATGTGACATGCGTGATACTCGCTTAGGCTATCATGTGTCTTTCGATACATGACTGACAAAGCAGATATTTTCCCCGCAGTTGGTTACCATTTCTTTCTACAGTAGACCAGTTACCATCCAAGACTATAGAACCTGGTCTGTCCCGCTATTTACCCATAGCTGGGGGAGAAGAAGAGGATTCATACTTTTCCCAGGGTTATTAGCACGTAAGGGAATGTAATTGATCCGACTGGAATTCGAACTCGGCTCTCCAATTTCTCTATTCATTACTCCACCATGCGTGATACACACTTAGGCGATCACGTATCTCTCGATACATGACTGACGATGCAGATTTTTTACCCCGCAGTAGGTTTCCATTTCTTTCTGCGGTAGACCAATTGCCATACAAGACTATAGAACCTGGTCTGTTCTGCTATTTTCAAATAGCTGTGGGGGAGAAGAAGAGGATTCATCCTTTTCCCAAGGTTATTAGCACGTAAGTGAATGTAATTGATCCAAGTGGAATTCGAACTCGGCTCTCCAATTCCATAATCCGAACCGCTATCCACCGCATCAATACTTATACTCACTGACAAATAACAACGATTAACCAATCTCTGCGACTACCGTCTCAGCGTTGATATTCTAACAACTCTCTCGTAGCAGAGTGAGGAATTTGCTACCAATGGTTTGGAATCACCGAGGCCATGTGTCTTTCATAGCTTTCCCCACGAACATCTCGAAATGAGAAACACAGCAAAGTAATGAAGTACAGATACTTTACTTTGATCACAGCCTGAAGGGTGACCTATTTCTCCATCTTATCATGGTGATAGGATGTCACACAAGATCGTTTTTAATTTGGGATTGCTTTCGTCGAATCTAAAAATTGCTTGGTTTCCCTGAGCAGTTTTACGCTGGTGTTGGTATTCCACTAATCCCCTTTTTTATCCCCCAAAAACAGCGAACATATACTACACTTTGATCCCAGCCTGAAGGCAGCATTTACCCACATCTCCACGAGGGTAGAATCTGACACAAAGTCAGATTTATCTGTTTTTTTTTTTTTATGAAGGAGAAGCTGCCGCAGGTTGGAATCATCTGAAAAATGGCGTCTCTAAATTTCTTTTTTGATGTCAACGAACACTCGTTGCCACTTTTGTAATGTCAATAAGTACACATCACGTTCGTAAATTTTCGTTGTAGTAGAGACTTTGTAATCGCAGATACCACTATAGTACGCCGTTGAACAATATTGGTGTCAAACGCCTTCGAATAACACTCGCACTAATAGTGCTTGCTCGTTAATACTCGCTCGAACAGGAATCTGTATAGTGATACGAATAGAGAAATAGTATAGTTAATAGCGGCCTGAATAGCAATAGAGGATAGACTAGAAATGTCGATCTGATTAGTAATAGAGGATAGATTAGAAATAACGATCGTTAGTCGTCACGCGACTTCCAACTTATGCATTTCCTTTATGGTCACGTGGTATATGTAATTCAAGAATGGGATCACCTGTATTTGCTCAGTGGTGATCTATGTTCAAACTCAAGTGTCGGCAGCGACACTTTATTCCTATATAAGAGTTTCTCGCTTTTAACTGTTCGAATACAGTAACAAGGCAGGGAGAAGGAAAACGTATACTTCACTTTGATCCCATTCTGGAGAAAGAGTAAAGATATAACCTCTGTTCGATTTTATTATCTCTTATCTAATTCCC